CAAAAGTATTATTTAAAAGTTCTCTTAGACTATCTTCATTTTGACTGATTTACAGTGTCAGTGAATTTGAATCTGTGTAATAATTGGAAGACTGTAAGGCGGATTCTTTTTTAGTATGCTAGGAAATTCAATAATAAAATTATGGTACATCCAAACAATAGAATATAACTATTAAAAATAATGTAGAAGACTGATAGCATGAAAGCATGTTCACAATATAATAAATTTAAAAGTTTAACATTAGTATGTATAGTATGAATTAAACATTCATTCATATAGAGAAAAAAGCTGTGAGACTGTAACATCAAAATATCAATGATAGTTACTTCTAGTTGTTAGGATTATGGTAACTTACTTTCTTCTCTTTGTTCATGTTTATTTTCTTAAGAATTTAACAATGAACTATAGAACTAGTCATAAGAAAAAATGTTACTTCAAAATCCTGTTATAGTGAACTTAATTGAGTGTACATTCAGCAAAGAATTACTGGATTCCCCCATGTCTGGGTTTCAAGAAACCATGTGCCAGGCACTGTGTAATATGCCAGGATACACAGACAGGTCAGACCCGGTTTTGTCTTCTTAGAGGCATGGTCAGTCGGGAATTTTAAAAACAATTGTAAACAAGCAACAAAGCTTTGTATAAACCATTTTCTCCTGATTATCTTGATAATTGTATAGAAGCTGCATGGCATTTTGTAAATCTTATAGACTAAATTTGAAATCCACTCTGACACTTAATAATAAACTTAGACACGTTAAATTTTCTAAGTCTTGGAAATTATCAAGGCCACTCTATTAGAGAAATATGGAGTTTCCAAGGGGAACTCAGTGGTAAAGGATGCCTCTGCAATGCAGGTTTAATCCCTGAATCAGGAAGAACCCCTGGTGAAGGAAATGGCAACACACTCCAGTATTCTTGCCTGGGAAATCCCACGGACAGAGGAGCCTGCTGGGCTGTAGTCCATGGGGTCACAAAAGAGTCGGACGTGACTTAGCGACTAAACAACAACATTAGAGAAATATAGCTGCTGAAGATAAACAGACGGAGAAATATATTCCTTGTGTTTTAGGAAAGAGTTTAAAGACTGCTCACAGCTCACTTTCTTTACACGGGGCTTGTCATCCCCTCGTCTAATGTCTGCGGATCCGTGCATTGCTTAGGTTCTAAGAAAGGTAATTTTAAAGTGCAAGCAGTTAGGATTTAGTAAATTCATTGGGCATTCTTGTTTTATGGTTCTTTGAGATCATTTTATGTTTTAAAAACAACAGTATCCTTCTAAAAGGGTAAGAATAACCAGGTGTGGTATAGTGAATCCAGATTTGGGGGTTCCATTTACTGAATGTCATTCCCAGTTTTAGTACTTGCCCTTGACATTAGAAAATGCAGGCAATAAGATCTGATAGCACATCTCTTCTGCTATTTTTCCTTGAATTTTGTTGAGTGTTTGGTACTTTGATCTCTGATCAAAGTTGCTTGTGTAGGCATAAGGCTGTCAGTCCATTTGAACCAAGAATGTAGCATTTGGTCTTGCCTTTCCCAGTGACTTTTCAAAATGAAAAATAAATCAACACATTATGTATGGTTGGTGATATTGGATATAGAAGACCAATTTAAAGTTGTGGTATAGTAAATATATGTTAAAATAGAGCATGTTTTCTTCACTATTTATTAACCATCAAGAATACTTAAAGCTGTTGAGACTGACCTAAAATTAATGTAAAATAAAACTATAAAATATAAAAGAAAAAGAGTATTAACTAGAACTTTATTATCAAGTTGGCGACTCACAAGCTTTCACTGAAACCTCCTTACTGTTTGTTATGTGGGTTTATACAAGTGCTGTTTGGCTTTAGAAGCTGTTGTTACTGAGATCTGGGTGACTGCCTTGTCCTAGAGAATGAGTGACTCCATCTTCATGAAGTTTCCTGGGCAGTACCACAGAGCGTGGAGTTGGAAGTTTTAAAGCTAAGCTATACCAGTCCTCCAAGACCTGACCCCCAGAGTCCTGCTTCTAACAGTCCCAGGGAGTTGGCCTCTGAACCAGTCGTTGAACATTGTCCCTTAGGAATCAAAACTGGGCCATGGTGAACAACCTGAAGACTTCCTGGGGCTTGACTATTCCCACTATTGGCTGTTTTTGTCATTTTTCCTCTGTGAGGAGGAACCAGTTCTCTTTTTCTTTCTTTGAGGTCTTTATTCCCCACTAGAGGTCACCCACTTGTTAGAAACTGCTGTGTTAACGGGATCAGTGCTCCATGCAAGCCAGAGTACAGTTGAGGACTGGTCTCAGAGCTGTGCCCAGCCTTGGGAAGGTGGTAATTTACATTTTGGGTACTTGAGTCATATAGCTATTGCGTAGCTGAAGTGAGGCTCAAACCTAGGTGTTCCAGTTCCAGATACATTCTGGGTGGAGCAGCCAAGCCCTCTGAACCTCTGACTGTAGGGAAGCTGCCTCTAGAGTCCTGTACGCTCCTGAAAGCAGCCCCTCGCAGCAGTCTGACTGCATCGTGTCTCTCTCCCTCCTGCGTTGCCCACCTCTAAGGCCACCTCCAGTATGCCCACATCCTTTCACAAGGTGACAGACTTAGCCTTCCGTGAGTCTTGAAAGATATCACACATTAATGCCTCTAACTCTGCTTGTGAAATGGTTCATATGACACTTTCCCTTTGGTAGATACAGGGCTTCCAGCTGAGCCCTTCCACATGGTGAGTTCTACAAATTCTTTCATAAATAACCTCTTACTCTTCTAGCACCCAGAGAAATGACCTCAAAGAAGACCTTTCTTTCTTCCTTTTTTTTTCCTTACATGGGGAAAATGAATACCTTCAGTCCCTGGTCCTGTGGAGGAACTCAGATCCCATGAGCCAGGCAAAGCAGCCAGGGTAGGGGAGGGGAGAGCTTACTAGGCAAATAAACAGCAGGAATATGACTCCAGGCCTTTAAAAATCTAAACCTCATTAAGCCCACCTTTGATATCAGACTTCAGATACACAGAATTGTTAAAGTGCTACACAAATGACATTCTTACTTATTCATTTATTTGGTGTTATTTTAAAATAAGGAATTACAACTTCTTGTTGTACTACAATTTTACTCTTATGTTATCATGAGGGAGACTGACTGAATGGCACACGGGATCTCACTGTATTATTTCTTACAGCTGAAGCTCAATGTACAATTATCTCAAAAAATTTAACTGAAAAAATATTTAGTCCTCTTCACCCTTCGGAAGACAGTTAATATATATCCTGATTTTTATTCATTTCTATTATTTTGAGGGGAAGCTATTAATAGCTTTCTAGTGATTTATTTAGGATCTTTGACATTTTCTTGGCAGGTTTCTAGTAAGTAAGTCTAATGCATTTATATAATATTTAGTTTGAAATCGTAAATTTATAATTTGATTAAGTTTTATTTTCTTATGGGTCCTTGTCATATCAAAAGAAACTGGCAGAAAATAGTCTTTCTTGTGAATTTAAGGAAACATTTGAATTGCTTAGGGGTGCAAACATTTGAATTGCTTAGGGGTGCATAACTATATAATCTATAATTCTGTCTCCAATCACAAAGCAGCAATTGTCCTTTTCATAATGTCAGGTTGACCAAAAAGTTCATTCAGGTTTTCTCGTTAAGATTGTATGGAAAAACCCGAGCGAACTTTTTGGCTAACCCAATATAAATGTTAAAAACGTCAAAATAACCCCTGTACCATTTTAACATTGAAAAAGGCAGATTTTATGTTAATAGAGGCTTTGGTCATGAACACTCAGCTCCAGTGGGCAGGACAAGAGACTCAGAAAATAGTAAGCTTTGGGTGAACACAGATTATTTGTTCAAGGAATTCAATCGAGTGGCTCAGTGATAAATGAAGTTTGTCTAAACTGGTATTACAGACTCAGAAAACTAGGGAACAGTCGAGAAGGGTGGATGTTTTGAGTATTACTGTGTCATCATGGTATTTGCTGAACTATTACAGGACTGGTCCTCACATGCAGTTTGTCAGCCCTTGTCTTCACTTCCAGCCTCAAACTGATAGCCTTTATGATACAACCTAACTTAATGTTGGTAAAGGGAGCTTCCTAAAATGCCACTGATTACTTTCCTATATAAGTTTTCTTACGGGGACTTGATAACAGCCTGAATGACTAGTAAAAGTCATGAATTTCAGCTGGAGCTATAAATTTGGAATTTAGACTTTACTTTCCAACTCTACCACTTTGCATGGTGTCTAGAACATTTTTGGCACACAGAAATGTTTGCGTAGCAAATTACTATTGAGTTTTTGTGGTCCATACTTCCTGTCCATAACCTCCCTCCCTTCCATGTTCCTTCAAGAGGAGAGAATGGTCAAAAAGAAGACTCTGGAAATGTCTCTCAGTGCCCTGAGGGGAAACCTGAGGGGGTCCCGGTGAAAGCACAGAGATAGAGCACCACCCAGGTGAGAGAGGGGTGAGGTCAGGCAGGTGGAAAAGACTGCAGTTAGATCTGAGCCAGTTTGCTTCCACATTGAAAAGAAAAGATGGGGGAACAGTCTCAGAGGAGATTTAAGTGTACTAGCATTCAAGACAAATTAGAAATTTTTCTTTTCTTAAATGTACCTATTTGGTTTAACAGAAATATTGGATTGTTTTGACTTTTTCCCCCCACTGCAAATAGCATTTTATTTCTGAAATTGCTTTGGTGGGCTAACCTGAGATGCAGCCACCATTTCTAATGTGAAAAATATGCATTTCAAATTCTAGTAAGTTTGAGCGAGTTTTCACAGTCCAGTGAGTTTTCTTCACTGCTGGTGGCACATTATCAGACTCTTTCGTCTTTCTGACCGTGTTTGTGGGCTCCTTTTGCCACTTTATTACTCCTCAGTGGCTTTGCCAACTTCATAAGTTGATGCCTTACCCATAGATTTTCTAGAAAGTATTTACAGGTCCCTCTACATTGTCTAGGTTTAGTAGAACAGCAGGTCCTTTGTTTTAACTGAATTTTCTCTTTACTGTAGATCCTTGCTGGCACCTTTCTGGATATTCTGGTGAACCTTGTTAAGAATTCAGAGAAACTGTCACGTGACAAAGACAGATCCAGTCTTAAGGCTTACGTGAGTATTTTCTACTGTGGACTTCTTCATAATATGCGAAAACTTCAGTGAACTGTGGTCTTGATTTTGGGTATATTCAGTTCTGTGACCAAGATGAAAAATGTGATCTATCGTTGGACTTTAGGCTTATTAAATTTAGAGGTTAGTAGTTTCTTAAGGACACAGAGAAATTCACAAAATATACCATGCTTATTCTCACACAAAAAATAGACAAGAAAGTCTTGCCCTTTTTACTGAGCCAATATTCAAAAGAATCCCAGTCTGAAAACCACAAGAATTCTTACTGTGTTTGAACCAAAAAAACATAGTGTTTTTTTGGTTCAAAAACACCAAGTAGATTGCTTTTCATTATCTATTCTTAGAGAATTTAACCAAAGCACATTACCTCTTGAAAAATCCTTGATACATGGTATTTTAATTTTTTAAGACGTTTGCGATACCTCTGTCTTTTTTTTTGATCCAGTTAATGAATACTGTAGGGGAAAATAGGGAGATTACCCTTGAAAGAGAATTTTGGACTGTTTTTTGAGTAACATCTTCCCATTGGGTTAGTTTCTTTTAAAAGTATTATATAGTATCATAATTTGAAGTTTATGTTATCTTGATTTCTGTAATTCTTAATCATAATCAGATTTCCCCCTTATTTAGAATTACCCTTAACAGCTCCTTCTCACCCTTCATATCTGTGTTAATTATATCTAGGATATCTCCTCCAGTATGCGCCCTTCTCTCTGCCACTGTATTAGATCAGGTTATCTTCATTTCTTGCTTGGATTTCTACAGTAACTTATTGATTGATCTCCTTGTCTCCAGTCTTGAGCCCCTCTGATCCAACCTCTTTATATTGCCAACAAAATCATCTTTCTGAAAGAATGATATACTAAGACTATGCCATTTCCTTGACTTAGAATGCTTCAGTGACTCCTACTAAAATCAAGTATAGTAAATCTTCCCGTGGACTTAGTAGGAAGATTAAATAAAATTCATTAGAAGCCTTTAATGCAGTGCCTGGCTCAGAACAGGCCCTCAGTCTGTGTTACTGCCTCCCCTTTGCCCCCATGGCAGCAGCAGAGCTTAACATGGCCCAGGACCAGAGGGGCAGTGGCTCTGTGGGAAACCAGGCTAAAAGGGGTACCGGCCAAGAATCTCACCGGACTCCAGAGCCAGGCTTTCCTGAATCCCTGTGAGGTTAGGCACAATAGATTGATCTAGCATCCAGTTCCATCTGTGTTCCAGAAAGACTTTGCCTGGTAAATTACAAGCCAGCTCATCTGTGACTAAGCTTTTGTAACCTTGGGAGCCATCTTTACAAACATAGCAGTCTCTGCCTTTGTTTTCTTCTTTTGGTTTATTTTCTCTTTAACTCCTTAGTAAAGTTTCTTTTGTCAGGCTTTAGCTTTTTCTTAAATGAATCAAGGAAGAGATGGTTGCAGGTGGGGTGGAGATGCACACGCCTGCATGCACACTGAGAGACCCGAGAGATTGCTGGGGGCAGGGAGTGTCAGTGAAAGAGGTGTGGACAGACCTGTTGGTGAAGTGAGTCTCCTCAGATGGGTGCAGTATTAGCGTGGACACAGCTACTTCCATGGAGACCTCATCTCTCCCTCTTCAGACAGTGGGAGTTTGGCAAAATCAGTAGCTGGATAACCGTAGAACAAAGCAGAATAGGATCAATACTGTAAAGAAGATGGACATTCTCAATTTCATGATAGGCCTGGTTTTTAGAATTTAGTTTGCTGCTTTCCTTAGCCTTTCTCTTTCTATTAAAATTTGACCTTTGTGCTCTAAACACCATTTGAAAGTGAAAGTGATAGTCGCTCAGTCGTGTCCAACTCTTTGTAAGCCCCAGACTGTAGCCGGCCAGGCTCCTCTGTCCATGGGATTTCCCAGGCAAGAATACTGGAGTGGGTTGCCCTGCTTTCCACCAGGGGACCTTCCCAGCCCAAGGATCGAACCCACATCTACTGCCATCTCCTGCAGTGGCAGGCCGTTTTTTTTACCCGCTGAGCTGTCGGGGAAGCCCCAAACAGCATCAAGCAGGTCCTTATTGAGTGTGAATTAAGTTAATCTTTTTTTTTCATGCTGATTGAGTTAACTTTTGAGTACGTGATTCTGTTTTACCATATAGAATATCTCAAGTACAATAAGAAATATATGAAAGAGAACTGCTGTGTGTGTATGTGTGTGTGTGTAGGTAGTTCTTTGAAGTTTAAGGAACTTACCTTCTGACAATGTAATAAAGCTAAATCTAAGCACTTATGTCTTGCTTTACTTTAAAAATATCTCAGTCTTTTTATATGATGAAAAGTGAAATAGGGCTTTATGATAATTGCAATTTTGATCCAGCAGATATGGGAAAAATTAGACATTTTAATGGAAAATAAAATATAATTGATAACTCTGATGTTGTTTCTGTTTGGTGAAGTAATTTATTAGAGGCAGGAGACCAGGAAGGATAAGAAATAGTACTTTTCTAAATGACTTCACTGTCTTGATTTAGTTCGGGTTCTCTGAATCTCAACTCACCTTATGTTTCTTTACAGGCACATTCCATCCACCACATCCGAACAATGTCCTACGTTTTTGTAAATGATTCTTCTCAGACTAATGTACCCTTGCTACAGGCCTGTATTGATGGAGACTTTAATTACTCCAAGAGGCTTTTGGAAAGTGGCTTTGACCCAAATATTCGTGACAGCAGGGGCAGAACAGGCCTTCACCTTGCAGCGGCCCGAGGGAATGTAGACATCTGCCAGTTGTTACATAAATTTGGTGCTGATCTCCTGGCCACTGATTATCAGGGAAACACAGCTCTTCATCTCTGTGGCCATGTGGATACTATTCAATTCTTGGTTTCCAATGGACTCAAAATTGATATTTGGTAAGTTCTGGTTTTTGAAGTCTCGTCACTTCTTCCCATTAGCCTCTCAACCGGTAATCTAATCTTGGAATCTATTGATTTTGTTTCCTCATTGATCAAGTGTAGTGACAAGTTCAGAAAGGTATTGAGGACAATGAGTGAGGGAACAGGAGCCTGACTTCTAGATTTGTGCTGAAGCAGTGTAAATTTTTCTATGAAAATAGTGGCTAGGTTCTGCTACTAATTAATTATGTATTACAAGACAAGGGAAAAAGAAGAACTAACATTTGTTGAAAATCTATTATGACCTGGGCACTGCGTTTACTGTGTTAGCTCATTGAATCTTCAGAATGAATAGCTCTTAAGTATTCGTTTTATAGACGAAATAGTTGAGACAAGAATTCTGGGTTAAATGACTTAACGCAGTTGGAATTTAAAACTAGTTCTGCCTGGTTCCAAAGCTTGTTTGCCTTCTATCGTGCAGTATACCATGCTAGCTTCATTATCTCTCTAGACTCAGAGTTCTTCTTACACTGAACAATTTGAAGAAGTAGTGTTTTTTGTTTTGTTTTAGTGTGATACCTTGTCTCTTGAGTGGGAATGATATCAGGTCACTTTAAAAAGAAACCTTGACCTTTAAGCTACATTTTTAATACCTAATTTATTAGTGCTATAATGTCCCTAAATCTGAATAAGACAGTAAATGGTTCTGCTACTATAGGACAAAATGTGGTAGGAATTAACTATAGGATTCAGTGTTGGTCGGGCTTTCTCCTGTTGTTAAATGGTTAGGTGAACCAAAGTAGATTATTTGATTGCTTTTGAGCTTGAATTTTTCTTTTTCTTTTAGTTCTTAGACATTTTAAAAAATAGATACTGTTCTCATGACGTACATAAATGTCAGATAAGAATGAATCTAGAAAAAAAATGAATCTAGAATTTAGACTTTTCCAATTAGTTTCTAGGAAGATGCCCTTTTTTCTTTATTCTCATTTATCTACTCTTGATTATGTATATATTTTTCCTTTTTCCTAAAAGAAAAAAAAAAAGGTTAACTCAAAATTCAGGCTCCATCTCAACCAGTAGTTCTGCTGTGGTTTTAATTTTGAGTTAATGGGGCCCATGCCTTCCTCACTGAGATCTCCACAACTGGCTACTAACAGTATAGTGTAACAGCTATTTTTATTTTTATGAACTTCCTAGCAACCATCAAGGTGCTACACCCCTAGTTCTGGCAAAGCGCAGGGGAGTGAATAAAGATGTCATCCGATTGCTGGAATCATTGGAAGAACAGGAGGTAAAAGGATTTAACAGAGGAACTCACTCAAAACTAGAGACCATGCAGACAGCTGAGAGTGAAAGGTACTTAAGATTTCATTTTTTTAAAAGGCAAGTCACTTCAAGTGAATCTTTTTTTGTGGTTTGTTTCTTTTGTCCTTTTTGGTTTATTTATTTGTGATTGGAGAATAATTGCTTCACGGTATTGTGCTGGTTTCTGCCAAACATCAACAGGAATCAGCCACAGGTACACGCATGCCCCTCCGTCCTGAGCCTCCCCNGGTACTTAAGATTTCATTTTTTTAAAAGGCAAGTCACTTCAAGTGAATCTTTTTTTGTGGTTTGTTTCTTTTGTCCTTTTTGGTTTATTTATTTGTGATTGGAGAATAATTGCTTCACGGTATTGTGCTGGTTTCTGCCAAACATCAACAGGAATCAGCCACAGGTACACGCATGCCCCTCCGTCCTGAGCCTCCCCCCACTACCACCCGCACCGTCCCACCCCGTCGGTTGTCAGAGCGCGACTCGAGCTCCGAGATGAGTAGCAAATTCCCGCTGGCCATCTGTTTACGTGTGGCGATGCGTTTCAGTGCTCCTCTCTCAGTCTGTCCCGCCTTCTCCTTCCCCCGCTGTGTCCACGAGTCTGTTCTCTGTGTCTGCGTCTCCACTGCTGCCCTGCAGATAGGCTCGTCAGCGCCATCCTTTTAGATTCCATTTACATGTGTTAATACACACAGTGTTTTTCACTTTCTGACTTACTGCACTCTGTTTAATAGGCTCTAGGTTCATCTGCCTCATTAGAATTGACTCAAATGTGTTCCTTTTTATAGCTGAGTAATATTCCATTTTGTGTATGTTCTGTAGCTTCTTTATCCGCTCATCTGTCCACAGACATCTCGATCGCATCCATGACCTGCTGTTATAAACAGTGCTGCAGTGAACATTGGCTGCATGTGTGTTTTTAAATTACGGTTTTCTCAGAGTGCGTGTCCATTAGTGGGATTGTTGGGTTATGTGGTAGTTTTATTTCTAGTTTGTTTGTTTTTTTTTTAAGGAATCTGCACACTGTTCTCTATAGTGGCTGCATCAATTTACATTCCCATCAGCAGTGCAAGAGGGCTCCCTTCTCTCCACACCGTCTCCAACATTCATTGTTTATGGATGTTTTGATGATGGCCATTCTAACCAGTGTGAGGTGATACCTCACTGTAGTTTTGATTTGCATTTCTCTAATAATGAGAGATGTTGAACATCTTTTCATGTGTTTATTTATCCATCTGCATGTCTTCTTTGGAGAAATGTCAGTTTAGGTCTTCTGCCCACTTTTTGATTGAGGTATTTGTTTTTCTGACATTGAGCTCCATGAGCTGCTAATATATTTTGAAGATTAATCCTTTGTCAGTTGTTTCATTTGCTATTATTTTCTCCCTTTCTGAGAGTTGTCTTTTCACCTTGTTAATATTAATAGTTTCCTTTGCTGTGCAAAAGCTTTTAAGTTTAATCAGGTCCCACTTGTTTACTTTTGTTTTTATTTCCATTGCTCTAGAAGGTGGTCATAGAGGATCTTGCTGTGATTTATGCCAAAGAGTGTTCTGCCTATGTTTTCCTCTAAGAGTTTTATAGTTTCTGGTCTTAGATTAAGTGAATCTTTTATGACAACTTTTTGTCAGCTTTATATTTATTTGCTTTTAAGTAAAGTGCTTGATACTGTCTTTGAACTCTCTGCTGGTCCTTAGGGCTCAGATTGTGACTGAAAAGCCATTAACAGAAAGCACCGTGTGCCCGCATGCACAGAATGTTCTGTTAGCCGCTGTGCAGGGCAGCCTGCAGTGCTGGCAGTACACGGGAGGAGAGCCGAACAGGGGAGAAGGAAACAGAGGTTTGAGAATTTAAGTGCAGGTTACAAGAAGAATGGGATTTCAGAAAAGGCAGAGGAAGATAGGAGGACTTGCACAATATTAGGAAAGGTAGTTTCAGAGATTTTAATTCAGGGAATTAAAGTGCTAAGGGAAAAGTAAAACAGGAGAGTAAGACAAGATTTAACACATACACAATTCAGTGATGTGAAAGTGACTTTAACGTGAGCTGGAACAAATGAAATTTGGGTTCCTATATGTAACTGAAGCTAAGGTGGAGTGACTGACAGGGTCTCAAATATCTCATCATTCCTCATCTAAAAGCAGTTTAGAACATAGTTCAGGAAGCTCTGACAAGGTTATCAGTCATCTTTTCTGTTGGCATCACGGGTTCAACAGGTGAAGCCTCTAGGCCAGATTTAGTTGTACCAGCTTGTAGTTTGGTTGACCACCGTGGAATTTCAGCCTTCCAGACATTGCAAGGTAAGAAGTATAATGAACTTAGATAATCTCCCAGATTTTTCAGGGGACTGGGGCCCTCATTAGCTACTGACTCAGCAGCAGATTGACCAGGACTTAGAATTAGGAGCATATGGTCCACTTAGACTGTTGGGGTCATTGTTTCTGTGAGTTCCAGGTGAAATCCTCTTTGGCTTTCATACTTCACCCTTAATTTGATTCCTCTGTGCCCATGATTCCTTTCCTCCCTCTTCATAGACTTGCTCGTGTACTTCTTTGGGACCACTGATTCCACTCTCAAGTTTAGGATTATTTTGTTTGTGGCAAACACTTATTATTGTCCAAAGAAATTAAAGTGTTTTACTTCTGAAACGGTGCATGCTCCTCATGACTTATCACTGAAGGCTGGCAAGTACATAAAATAAGAAGTCAGAGGTGCACTGCAAGCCCTTCTCCACCTGCATGTTCTGGATTGGCAGTCAGAATGCTGTAAGAAATTTAATAACATTGAGTTGTTTTTTGTTAAAGATCATATGCTTCTAAAATAACTTGAAACTTATTTTCATAATGACTTTGGCCTTCTTTACCATGAAAAATGTTCTAGATGTGCTCTTTCCTGGTATATTTTCAGGACCTTGCTTGGTATATTTTGTTACTAGCCAGTTTCTTGGCATCTCTGTATTAGAAATATGTTTTATTTTGCCTCAGTTGTAATTCCTTACTAACTCAGAAGTGATTAGTCATTTGAGTAGTGCAGTGTGAAATATTTATTCCTGCTTCTTTCACATACCTGCCATTGCACTTTAGTATGAGGATTCGTATTATTTACAGCATTAGGTAAAGCTTGTTCTTTAAAAATTGAATTATTAATACTTATACTACCTAATTGCCCTGTCGTACTCCTGCCCTTTAGTGTCATGATAGGAAGGTGTGGTTGAAGCTTAAACTAAAAAGCTTAAAAGCAGCATCATTGGTCATTAGGGAAAATGCAGATTGAAACCAGAGTGAAATACCACTTCATACCCAACAGAATGGCTGCAATCAAAAAGATGGACAATAACAAGTACTGGCAATGATGTGGGAAAATTTGAACCATCCTACATTGCTGGTGGGAATGTAAAATAGCTGCTGTGGAAGACAGTCTGGCAACTCCTCAAAAAGTTACACAGAGTCACCATATGACCCAACAATTTCACTTTTAGGTATATACCCAAGAAAATTGAAAAAAAACATGTTTACACAAAAGCTTGTATGCAAATTTTATAGAAGCTTAATTTATAATAGCCAAAAGGTAGAAACCACCCAAAAGTCCATCGTTGATGAATGGGTAAGCAAAATGTCATCTCTCCATTCAGGGAAATATTATCCCACTATAAAAAGTGATGAAATACTGATATGTGCCACAACACCGATGAGCTTTGAAAACACGCTCCATGAGAGAAGCCAGGGGCAAAAGGCAGTAGTGGTTGCCAGGAGCAGGGGAGGGGCAAGGGGTGGCGGCTGCTGAAGGGCGCAGAGCTCATTACAGAGGTGACCAAGATGGGACTGGACAGTGGAGGTGGTTCTGCAGCTTTGTGAATTTTCTAAAGAACACTAAACCGTGTACTTTAGAAAGATGAATTTTATGGTACATGAATTATATCAATTTAAAAAAAGTGAGGGGGGGAAGCTTAAAGGTGTTGGCTAGCACATGGCATTGTGGCATAGCTGTGTGATGATTAGCCTTTTCTAGAATAGGAGAGAAAGCAAGATTTTGAATGCATTTAGTATTTTCCTGTTCCCTTATAATTCCCTGAAACATAGCATAACTTCTTAAGGGCCTAGAAATCAAGTTGATGAAAAATACTTCCCTACACCATTTAACCTACGTTTAATTTAGTTCCTTTTTATTTAGGTATGGGCTGACAGAGACAGTGTAGATGACACTGTACACAAAAAATTACACATTGTACACACAGACCATCATGCTAGAATCACATATTTCCTAGATAGTAGAAAAATATTTCATTGGACCAAGTCACCATAGACAGTTCTGACTGTCAGAACTTCATGAGCTCTTAGAGAAGGTGCTACTGAAGTCTCATTTTATAGGTCCCCACCCACCCCCACTGTCCAAAAGTAGAATGTTCCTAGGAACCTTCTCCTTAAGTCGAGGTGGCATAAAGTGAAGAAGCAGTTTACCTTAGGACTCATCTTACTAACAGATGCACAGAACAAATTGAGATGAAACACAGGTGCCCACAAACACCGCTCAGGGCTGGGGCCACTGGACACTGAGATGCAGTGAGGTTCCTGGGGAAGGAGCCTGGTGGTGCCAGTCTTGCTGCAAGACAAACGCTGAACACTGTTTTTGTTTTACGCCTTTCTTCATAGAAAAGCAAAAATCCTCTTGGGATTTCTTTTAATTAGCAAATACAGGTAGTATAGTAGGTGTTTCTTAAAAGTGAGGTGGCATAAAGTGAACTTTCAAAAAGTGGGGGATACCTGTATATCTAACACCTTTAAGTATGAGAGCATTCTGAATCAGACGTAGTCAATAAATTTCTTGTAAGTCAAAATGATGACATTATTAGAGCAGGAAGTACAAGCATTTAAAAATATGGAGTTCAGGGTCCTTGTGTATCAAGCTAACTCAGATGTTTTGAAAGCCTTTTCTTTAAACAGAGTAAGTGAAATATCTGTGGCTCAGAAGTTTGGGGTTTGTGATAACTTTGTAGTCATAGAAAACTTAAGTGCTTTCTGCCTCTCCACATGTGGTTATTCTAATAAATAGAGAAGTGAGCCAAAAAAAAAAAAAAAAAAAAAAATTTAACCTCTCCTGAACTTCTCAGAGTTCTAGTCTAATCTTTGAACTTGCTAGAGTTTTCTTTAAATTTTTGTATTGTCATAGATTCCCATTGAAAATGACTTCTCCTATTCAGAAGATAAACATTTTTTAACATATTAAAAAAGTTTGGATGTCACACAGACTGGCCCTTTACGAAGTCATTTTCCCAGGATTAGAAAAGACACTAATGCCAAGAAAGGCTGAAAGGGCTGTGGTTAACAGTGTCAGTGAATAAAGTTGTCACTTACCAAAAAAAAAAAAAACCTGTCACTTGTGCCTGATGAATCAGACTCTTAAGACCTTGTTTTGTGCTGTTTCCATTGCTCCAAAATGGTCAGAAGAATATGAAAAGAAGTTTAGGAAGAATCATAACAGCAGTCAGTAGTTGATACCTGTGATTGTGGTCATTGTGGCTTTAATCTAAATGACACCCTGTTATTGGTCCTGCGTGTTGCGACATAATTGTGGGTGCTAATCTCTTGGAGCTTCGAACTCATCACAGCGCAGCCTCTCGAATACCAGTGTCAGATACACTCTATTTGTAGCAGTCATGTTCTCACTTATATAGTTTTTATGGTACTTGTACTACCTTATTTTCAACTAGACTCAGCCTTTATACAGAAGAGAAGTAAACTTATTTTGTGTTGTTGTACAAGATAGAGCTAAAACCAGTGGGAGGAAGCTAGTAAGAGGAATCCCTAATGTCTAGCCCTGTCCAAGTGTACAAGACTGAAGAGTAAGCATCCATTATTAAAGTATTTCAGTTTAAAGAAGGAATTCCTTCACTGGTCAGATTGTTAAACTAAATTGATAAAAATCCACCTTTGAGATTCACACTGTATAAAACAAGTTTTTAGATTTTCCCATCTTTGCTTATTTTCCTTAACATGAATTCTCAAATTTTGAATCCTTGTGTTGAACTCTGCAAATAACCAGAATGTATTTTGCTACAGTATCTGATGACTCACTAAGTGACTCACTTGACCTTTTTCAAGACTTCTGCTTCACGGTTGGGATGTTTTTATTGTTGTTGTTCAGTTGTGTCAAACTCTTTGCAACCCCATGTACGGTAGCATGCCAGCCTCCCTGTTCTTAGCCATCTCCTGGAGTTTGCTCAGACTCATGTCCATTGAGTTGATGATGCCATCTAACCATCTCATCCTCTGTTGCCCCCTTTTCCTCCTGCCCTCAATCTTACTAGCATAAGGGTCTTTTCCAATGAATCAGCTCTTCGTATCAGATAGCCTAAGTTTTGGAGCTTCTAACTTTGACTCTTCTAGATACTAAACCAAGGAACATAATCATTATTGTTTAGCAATTTATGGTTCAAGGTAAATTGTCCAAATACTTGCAGATATTTAAATCGGTACATAAATGGGTATTTAAATCGGTACATAAATGGGTTAGAATATATATGTCAGTTTTTATTTTAAGGTTGGTCTTCTTAAACCATGCAGTTTCTGTGCATTTTTGTTTTTGCAATGGGTGATGTGTTGTTTCATGTCCTTTCTTTCCCCTTGCTTCTCCCACAGCGCCATGGAAAGCCATTCCCTCCTCAATCCCAACCTGCAGCAGGGTGAGGGGGTCCTGTCCAGCTTCCGCACCACGTGGCAGGAGTTTGTAGAGGATCTGGGCTTCTGGAGGGTGCTGCTCTTGATCTTTGTCATCGCTCTGCTGTCTCTTGGCATCGCCTACTATGTGAGTGGGGTGCTGCCCTTCGTGGAAAACCAGCCTGAACTGGTGCATTAAAGGAGCTCCCAGGAGAGGAGACGGATGCCAGTGTCCTGGCTTCCAGTGTTTGTTCTCAGTTTCTTAAAATCTCTTAGTGCAAAGCAGTGAGGGCTGTACTTTTGTTTCTTTTTGCATTTTTACACATTGTAATCCTTTTAGAAGAACAACCTGTCTGTTGGAACTAACTACATACTGTAGTCAAGGATACTGTCCTAAAGCTGCCTCCAACTCAGCCTGACTTCTTAGGAAAGGCTCTGCAAAGCCTTGTTTGACAAAGATGTGGCATTGGCTAAGGAATGAGAGATAGAGGATGAGACTAGGAAATCCTTGCTACAGAAACCTTAACCTAATATAAGACCAACTAGGGTGAAATGTTTAAAGTTCGTCTTATATGATTAGTTGTGGTTGGTAGTTTCATTTTGTTTTTGTTTATTTTTTCAAGAGCTGCTTTTCACTCTTTACTTTCTCTGGGGAATAGTAGGGTAGGGGGAAATGAAACCTTCAGCTTAAAACTTGAAGTGCTTTTTTCAGATTTTGTAGTGCAAATCAGTATTGTTGGGACCTGTTTGGTTTATTTTAACATTTTCAAGTCTAGTCACAAACCAAACAGAACTTTTGAAAAGGAACTGTATTTTCCTCAAAAATGATTGATTTGATCTTATATTTATTTGTTTTTAAGATAAGTTTGATTTTCTTTTGTAAGCTGCTTTGCTTGTTGTTAGTGTCTATGAAAAATGAACTTGAGAATTTTCAGCTGAGAAACTTTTCATTTCACCCGAGTGTTTATTTCAAAAATAGTCTATTCATCAAAAATACAGTTGGAAAACTCTTTCTACTCAGTAGTTAGCCGGAATAAATATTTCTGATGTTTAATGTCACTGTAATTCTGTAGTACCATTATGTGAAAAATTCAGTTCGATAAGCTAGCTGTGTTGTCATGATTATATCATAGTTCATAATTTTTTCATTTTATGTGCAATCCTCTTTAGAGGCCCTGTTAGAATTGTCCTAACAATCCCATCCATGTCAGTTGTTCTCTGATGGAAAGAATGGATGGAGCATTTCTGAGTTAACAGTGCTGAGCAGTATTGTACCAGGTGTCATAAACTCTTTATGAATGGTAATATTATGTAAATTGAAATCTGGCCCCCAAACCATATTGCAGCTTTCTGAAGTGTGTTTGAAGGCCTCTTGTTAATGATTCTGCTATGTTTATATCATATTATTGGGTTATTAAAAAAAAGGATATGAAGACTTGATAATTATTCATTAGGTATAGTCAGAAAATTGTGGTGAAAGAACTAATGGTTTTATTTTTTAGAACATAGTCATCTAAGCTACTGCTAATTGAATTGTTGCTAGAATTAGAAATTGTAATTTAGAATAGAATTGGTATTTCTGTGATTCTTTTTGCTTCTTAATATTTTCTCTTTTGCATTTTTATATCTAGGATTGAGGCATTTTCTTTCATGTGACTTTATCCTGTCTTAAAGAGCTGTTCTGGAATTTCTGATTTACCTGACTGCCTCAGAGTCAGCTCATAGCATCTTGCTTTTAGATTAGCTGCAAACAAAATTAATCATACTTGATGTAAATACAGCAAAAAACAGTGGACATTAGAATGGAGAACACTTCAGATTAAAAGCTTTGGAATTAGCTTTATATTTGTTTGTAACTCTAAACAGATGTGTAAAATTGGTTAACATATATGTAAATATATTGCATTTTTAAAGATTAATGTTTCCTTTTAAGTGATGATTTCTTTGTATTCTGTTCTCTGCACTCAGTACTCAATAATATTACCAATAAATATATTTATAATCTGTTAATCACAATTTATTTTCTTATTTATCATTGTTTTTCTTTTAATTTAGGATTTTTAAAAAATAGATTCCAGTTGGCTGTTTAAAAAAGCAAAGAGCTTTTTTTGAAACCCCATGTAATAGGTGTATCAAGTTTCATTTGTGTTTGCCTTATAAATGTTCTGACACTAATTTGGGTGAATTGCTTATGGATTTAAGAGTAATAATGCTGCTGTTGCTAAGTTACTTCAGTCAAGTCCAACTCTGCCACCCCATGGACTGTAGCCCACCAGGCTCCTCTGTCAGTGGGATTCTGCAGGCAAGAATACTGGAATGGGTTGCCATGTCCTTCTCCAAGGGGTCTTCCTGACCCAGGGAGTGAACCCACATCTCTTTTGTCTCCTGCATTGACAGGTGGGTTCTTTACCACTAGCGCCACCTGGGAAGCCCAAGACTGATAATACCTACCATGATTTAGCACCTCCCAATTGTACAGATCACTTCAAAGCCTCATCTCATTTAATCCTTATGATCATCCTTATGTTCCCTGTAAAATGAGGAAACTGACACTATGAGGGTTAAGTAACTAACTGGTCAGGTACTTAAGGTCCAGCAGGCCATAGTGGAATAGCGATTCCACATACAGACTCTATACCCAATTTTATGTTTGTTCTTTCCTTTTACCCTGCTGTCTGGCCTCAGTCTGGCAGTGGAAACATCTGGAATCGTACCTACTGCCATCTCAGCAGCACATGCTACTAAAATTTTCAATCCTGTTTCTAAATATACCTTTTCCTCCTCCTATATGCCCCATGTTTCTGTAACCTCCCAGGGTTTCTAACCCATAATATTGAAGCTCAGATCCTGGCACATTCAGAAAACCTAACAGTTAATTGTATCTGACTGCCCACTTCTCTACCTCTGATTTCCTCATCACATACCATACTTAGTAAATGTGTTTGTTGACTCTTGAACAGTGTGGGGGTTAGGGACTCAGGGTGTTGACCAATGCGTAGTTGAAAATCAGGGAGTAACTTTATAGTGAGCCCTGTGTACTCAGGTACCAAGGTACCTGGTACACATCCTGGTACCCAGGTACACATCCTGGAATGTGAAGTCAAGAGGACCTTAGGAAGCATCACTAGGAACAAAGCTAGTGGAGGTGATGGAATTCCAGTTGAGCTATTCCTGAAAGATGATGCTTTGAAAGTGCTGCACTCAATATGCCAGCAAATTTGGAAAACTCAGCAGTGGCCATAGGACTGGAAAAGGTCAGTTTTCATCCCAATCCCAAAGAAAGGTAATGCCAAAGAATGCTCGAATTGCACTACCACACAATTGCACTCATCTCACACACTAGTAAAGTAATGCTCAAAATTCTCCAACCCAGGCTTCAGCAATACGTGAACTGTGAACTTCCAGTTGTTCAAGCTGGTTTTCGAAAAGGCAGAGGAACCAGAGATCAAATTGCCAACATCCACTGGATCATCGAAAAAACAACAGAGTTCCAGAAAAACATGTATTTCTGCTTTCTTGACTAGGCCAAAGCCTTTGACTGNCCGAGCACCAAAGAATTGATGCTTTTGAACTGTGGTGTTGGAGAAGACTTGAGAGTCCCTTGGACTATAAGAAGATCCAACCAGTCCATCCTAAAGGAGATCAGCCCTGGGTGTTCATTGGAAGGACTGATGTTGAAGCTGAAACTCCAGTGCTTTGGCCACCTCATGCAAAGAGCTGACTCATTTGAAAAGACCCTGATGCTGGAAAAGATTGAAGGCAGGAGGAGAAGGGGACGACAGAGGATGAGATGGCTGGATGGCATCACCGACTCGGTGGACATGGGTTTGGGTAGACTCCAGGAGTTGGTGATGGACAGGGAGGCCTGGCGTGCTGTGATTCATGGGGTCACAAGGAGTCGGCCACGACTGAGCAACTAAACTGAACTGAACTGAACTTGGTACCCAGGGTTCTACACCTGCAGATTCAACCAACAGTAGATGATATTGTAGAACTGTACATATTTAATGAAAAAATAAAAATAAAAACCCATGTATAAGTGGACCTATGCAGTTCAACCCTTGTTCAAGGGTCAACTGAATTTTTCTTTTTTTTTTTTTTTTGGTCTTTTTGATGATAGGTTTCATGAGAGCAGGAACTCAGACTATTTTTTTCTCTCCTGTTTGTTCACAGTGCACCCTGTAGAACTCTTTGAACACAAAGACTTTTTTTTCTAATTGTAAGTGCATTTTTTCTTTGCAGATTAAGCATGTGCTTTTCACATGTTTCCTCCAACAGGCTACATGTATGTGAATGTGCTGGCCATTTTTCCGCCATATGTCTGCCGCTGGATGGAAGGACCGGAGTCTTGTACTACAGGCTCCTTGACATAAGAGCATGCAGGCTTTGCACCAGCACAACGTGCCTAACGTATACCATAGGTTTAAAAAAAAAGCATAGTTGCTTTCTTTTTTACCACTTGGTATAGAAATGCACAACAGTATTCTCTTTTTATTGTTGTTATTTTAACCAGGCCTCAGTCTTTGACTTGTGAAGTTGTTTATGAATGTATCAAAGTGCTTTCAGCTGCAAGAAGTCAAATCCAAATTCAAAGCGGCTTAAACCATAAGAAAGTAATTGATTTATGTAACCGGAAGCCCAGAGGTAGAATAGACCTCAAGGGTGACATAATCCAAATTTAGCTCAGTTCCTCCATGCTTTTCACTCTGTCCTCCTATTTGTTGGTTTCATTTTCCACGTGGTTCCGAGATGAGTCCAGGATTTTCAGTTCTCACGTCCATTTGTAAGCATGTAGAGAATAAGACGGTTTCTTACCATCTTCCCTTAGGTGTGGGCTTCCTAGTGGCTCAGATGGTAAAGAATCCGCCTGCAGTGAGGGGCTCCTGGGTTCGAGCCCTGGGTTAGGAAAATCCCCTGGAGGAGGGCGTGGCATCCGACTGCAGGATTCTTTCTTGGAGAATCCCCATGGAAAGAGGAGCCTGGCGGTCTACAGACCATGGGGTCACAAAGAGTTGGACACGACTGAGTGACGAACACTTCCTGAGGTGTTCTCCTAGGAAGCTTTCCTGCAAAATACCCAGAAAACTTCCTCCTGGTATCTTGGCCAACATTACATCATGTACCCTATTCTCAGACGAGCCAGTGCCATGCGCCGGTTGACAAGGCCTGTGTTGAAGTATCAGTCATGGGGAGCATGAGATTGGTGGAATTATGTGATGGGCTTGGACCAGCGGTTTTAGAAATAAGTGGAGGTGCTCCTGTCAGTCAGCGGGCAGGGCCCGTTTATGTCCTGTGGCACCTGGGACAGTTTAGCACAACAAAGAACCATTCCACGTGCCATATGATTCTTGAATGTTCTGCTGGCCATCCATTCATATGGATCTTTTTCTTTTAAGTTTGTTATCTGAGCCTAAAACCTAACACTACTTTACATTTCAAAGTATTTTTTCATACGGTTTTCATGTGCCCTGAATTCTCTAAGAATACAACTGCAACATAATTGAAGGGAGATTCTACTCCCTTGTGGCTCAGGTGGTGAAGAATCCATCTGCAATGTGGGAGACCTGGGTTTGATCCCGGGGTTGGGAAGATCCCCTGGAGGAGGGCATGGCAACCCACTCCAGTGTTCTTGCCTGGAGAATCCCCATGGACCAAGGAGCCTGGTGGGCTGCAGTCCATAGGGTCACAAAGAGTTGGACATGACTGAGCGACTAAGCACAGCACTCTATTTTGTTCAAAACTTGACCAGGATCTTGACCTCTTCCTAAAAATCTTATTCTTGGCAGCAGTGCTAGTGATGACAGTTGAGTCACCCACATAACCCTGTGAGTGGGCACTGCTGACTTCTTGTTTCTTCTAGTGTGGCTGTGCCTGGGCACTCACGTATTGAGATGCACACTTTGTTATCAATTACTTTCCCTTTATTTTTCCTTTATATTACATAATTTATACTAAGTCATTCTATTAATTTCAGCAATTGTTACTCACTTTTATCTGAGACGCCTACTACAGCTTCTTTTATCATCTCGGTATACCTTTTCCTAGTAGTTTATTTTGGAGGGTATACCAGGAAGTAGCATTTCTCAAAGTTAATGGAACAGTGGGGAGAAGAAAGGAGGCCAGCACTGAGACAGTCCCAGCCGTGCTAGATGGAGTAGAACTGAATCAAGCCCGCTCCTCTGGGCTCTGAAGTCGATTGAAAACAGTTTTCTAGGGAGGACCTCAGCCTTGCTGTGGATACCTCCTTGGCGTCCCTCCAAGTGCTGCTGGCTGGCGTTCCGTCCAGTCCTTCACGCGTTCATTCTCTTCACTTCACATCATGAACAGACAGCTCCACGTCAGGCATTAGGGGTCTCCACTCACTGGGCAACAGAGGTTTGGTCATTCTCTAGTTAGATGTCAGGGAATACAGTCTGGAGTTTCCTGTTGCCTAACAGTCATCAAGAAACTTAGCAGATAACCACATTCACGGTGTTGCTTGGAACCTGTTTTAGATCGTCACTGTCCAAACTTTCTACAACAATGGAGATTTTCTGTATCTATATCTGTCTAGTGTCGTAGCCACTCATCATTGTGACTGCTCATTCATTTAAATTAAATTAGAAGTTCAGTCCTTCATTAGCACAGTTATCCAAGCCTGAAACTCAACTGCACTCACTGTATGTTTAAAAACAAACCCAGCCACCTTTCTAGTGCTCATTAGAGGCTAGCCTCACAAGAGGCTGTTTCATTGGACGGTATTTTTTTCGGCTATGCCAGGTCTTGGTCGTGGCACACGAGATCTTTAGTTTCGGCCTGTGGGACCTAGTTCCCTGACCAGGGCTCGACCTGGGTCCCCTGCACTGGGAGTGCAGAGTCTTAGCCCCTGGACCACCAAGGAAGTCCTTGGGTGGCAGTTTTTGCAGAAACTTCCCTTGGACAGCAGTATTCTCAAATCTCCCTTGGGCTCGTGGGGTTGGATAGAACTAGCTGTGAACGGTATGAAGGGGGTTTCCCCCACAACTGCTTTTACTGAG